TTGGGCTACTATCAGCTTTGAAAATCTTTCTGTGTATAACAGTGATTTTCAACCTTTTTCATCTAATGGCACAATAAACTAATTACTAAAATTTTGCTGCACACCAAAAAAAATATTTTTTGCTGATCGAACAAAAATTTTGATTCATTCACCTCAGGCATCTATTGTTGTGTTGGATGTTTTCATATTTTTTTTTTTAATTTGCCAATCTAAGGGAAAAGAGTTCTGCACTGCTGATTAGATAGTCAGGTATTCCATGTTTTAAAAATTCTGGCAGCACAATAGTATGCCACAGCACACCAGTTGAAAATTGCTGGTTTATAAGATTTGCTTCTTGAAGTATTTTCTCATATACTCTTCTTCTTCATAAATGGAGGTTGTAATGGTTTGAGTAGTGTTCCCGCAGGAACACAGAATGTGATTTTAATTGCACATAGTCTTTGCACACATATGGAGTTAAGAAGAGGTTAATTAGGCTGGGGTCTAAATCCTATGGCTGGTGTCTGTATAAGAGACATAGAGAGAAGGCTCTGTGAAGACGGAGTCAGAGATTAGCATAACGGAGTTGTAAGTCAAGAGAGACAAGGATTCCTGGGAGCCACCAGAAGCTAGTTAGAGGTAAGGAATGAAGTTTCCCTAGAATCTTCAGAGGGAACATGGCTTTGCAGGTACCTCGATTTTGTATTTCTACCCTCCAGAACTATGAGAGAATAAACACCTGTTGTTTTAAGCAACAACATTATATGGTAATTTGTGTGGCAACCCTAGGAAACTAGAACAGAGACCAAGAGTAATTTGTTAAAAATTAAATTATTGAAATGTATGTCTCTTTTGAGCATTCCTTCTGTTTCAAGGTGAAAGGCAATGACCTTATTTTTATATCTTTAAAGAAATTGCTAAACTGTTATTTTCAGCGTAGTTTTCTTATCACTTTGCTACCTTCAGGGAATGATATGAGGTGTAAACATGGCATGTGGCTAGGTGGATTTAGTATATTAATTAGTTTTTTCAGATGAATATTTTAAAATAAGACTTAAATCAGTAACTCTTAAAGACTAGACACTAAATAGCATGGGGATTTGGATAAATTAAAAGATAAATGTTATAGAATAGGGAAATTATGTGACTCCAAACATCTAACTGAATTATAGTATTTATAGGTCAATAAATTTTAAAGCTCCAGTACTAACTTAAAAGCTACTCCTTGACATGGAAATATAAAATATATCAATGCTAAAGGTGGCATGATGTAGTTGTCAAGAAAAATTCAATTCCTAATGTGTTTTAGTCTCTTTAACATGCAACCGCATGTGTCTGAATACAAGGGATCTGACAAATTAACAACGGTGGTAAGATTAAGCAAAATGGAAAAATAATTAATTAATTTGCTTCTAAAAATCAGAGCATACTTATGTATCAGGTGGTGAAGTTCTTGGAGCTATAATCAAGAAAAGATATTCAAGAGCTGAGGCAATTTAGCACGTTATATGTCAGGCAAATCAAGAGAAAACATGGAAATGTAAAATATACCAAAGCTAGAGATGACATGATGTAGTTGTCAAGAAAAATTCAATTCCCAATGTGTTTAAGGCCCTTTAACATACAACAACATGTGTCTGACTACAATGGATCTGACAAATGACTGAGGATGTTAAGATTAAGCAAAATGGAAAAATAATGGTACACGAAATGACAGAAAATTCACCTCGCTAATGGAGCAGCCATTTGGGGGTTAGGATCTGAAGCACAACAGAGGAACGTTGCCTCCATAAAGTTTCCCAGAGATTCCTTGGGCAATGACTTAATGATAGATTATTGTTGACTTACTGATAGAAGATGGCGTGGAAATGATACTTAGAAAGTTCTTTAAAAATATAACTACTTTTTTTTGTCTCTTAACTCTACATTTTGAGCTTTCTAATACAAAGCTATGAATAGAAATTAAAGGGTCTGATGATTAAGATTGTAATTTCTTCTTAGGTAGTAAATTTCTATAGCCAAACAATTTCATTTCTGAGAGTATATATTTTATAAACTGGAATATTTCTTTAATAATTACAATTAAATTTACAACAATTAAAAATAAAGTGAATAGACCTGATTCAACAATTACAAATGACTGGCTATATGTCACTTTGGATTGTAACAAACCTGAAGTAAATATTGCCCAATAATTCTATTGAACATAATTGGAAAGTAAACCATGAGGCATGGAAGAAGTGATGAAAACAAGAGGAGAGAGAAGGAGAAATTGAGAGCTAAAACGATTTATCATTTGTTCTATATTCCCTAATTTTTCTCACCTAACTCTCAATTAACTAATATTTTAGGAAGTTTTCTCACATTCTTAAAAAAAACCCACCATATTTATGTATCTAGGCATCTTTTCACACTCAGTTAAAGATGCAAACCAATTGTAATTAGAAGAAAGCCTTACAGCATTTTCCTCTTAGCACACGTTGATACATTAAACAAACCACATATTGTATTATTTTATATACTCATACATCAACTCCTTCAATAATAAAACTCTACATACTTTTTTCTGAGTTTTCTATTTATATTTTTATTTACTTTTTATTCACTAATTAACACAACAAATATTTATTTATTGAACCCTCACTAAATGCTTGGCATTCTTTTTGTCTCATGGAGTATTTTAGTAAAAAAAGTAAGAATTTCTACCCTCTATAACGTAGATCTTTGAGTCACCCTATGGAGAGGGTTGCTTGGGAATACAGCCTGATTTGCTCCAGACTGTGATCTGATCAAGAAATAAATCTTATTTTGATATTTCAGGGTCCTTTGTCATAATAACTTAGTACAACCTACTCTACTAAACATACAGGTGAAAAATCATTTAAACTAAAATTTTATAACCAACCAAATTTTTATCTAAATGTAAGAGTGTAATATAAATATTATTAGGCACACTAGACTTCTGAATGTTTGACAAATAGAAATATAACAAAATCTCAGCCTAAATTCAATTACAACCCAAACCCAAATTTATACAATAATTTATTGAATTGATTAATCTCTGAAAGTGAATGATCATTTTATTTACGGTGATTTGACATGAGAATTTTAAAAAGAACTGTAAAATTATAAAAAGAATAATCATGGAAAATATGCAAAAAGAGTACTAATAGTTATTTAAAAATTGTATTTCAACCTAAACAAATTTGTTTTATATTGTTGATTATGTGAAACTAAGTTTAAAAACACAAAAATTTCAGGTAAGCACAAAATTTGATTTGTAAGCTAAGTTTTTTTTAATTTTAAATCTAAGTTTAAAACAAATGCAAATGAAACCCTGCTTTTATCTTAACAAACTCAAAGATCTTAAAAGGAAGTAGACATGAGAGTCTTGTGGTTCTGATGTCTACTACTGAGCAAAAATCATGGTTAGTTTTTATAACCTGGTAAATTTAGGTAGCTTCATTCTTAATCCATGATCTTGTGGAATCTGTGCTCTTTAGTACCAGAAAAAAAATTTTCCTTCTGAAAAACATAAACATTTTTAGAATATACAAGCTCTGTCTAGTGAAAGTCCAGCCCATGGTAAGCCATTGTTAATATAACAAGAACGGTATGTGTGACATCGATGTAACCAGGCAGCCAAGGAGTGTGGACTGGAATATACATGTGAAAAATGATGACTTTACTGTAGACGTCATTGAGTTAAGTCTGTGTACTCTATGGCCATCACTTTCAAAATGACTTAGTGAGTAGAGCAATGAATCCTCATCCAATTTTGCATTAAGCTTGAACATTCCTCTGAGAAATCTTTTCATGTGATTTGGAAGGCTGTAGCTATGGGGAACTGGTGATTGGCAGCTTCACTGTGACAATGCACCCACTCATGCATCACATCTCGTGCAGAGTTTTTTGGCAAAACATCAAATCACCCAGGTGACTCAGCCTCACTACATCCCTGATTTGGCATCCTGAGACTTCTGACTTTTCCCAAAACTAAAATCACCTTTAAAAGGGAAGAAATTTCAGATCATTGATGAGATTCAGACAAATATAATGGGGCAGCTGATAGTTACTGGGAGAACTGCGTGAGGTCCCAAGGTGCCAACTTTGAAGGGGACTGAGGTGTCATTGTCCTATGTATAATGTTTCCTGTATCTTGTATCTTCCTCAATAAATGTCTCTATTTTTCATATTATATGGCTAGATACCTTCTGGACAGACTTTATATATGGCTATGCTTTCAAAATATAGATTGTTAAAATATATATATGAGGAAGAGTAAAATACATCCTAAATATTTGTTAGAGAAGTAATAAGACTGAAAAAAACATATTTTACATATTTTTTTCTTTATAGAGAAAGAAATTAGCTTTCATTTTGTGTTATTTCAAGGTTTTTCACAATTTCTTTTCTGTGTTTGTTTTCCAAGATTGAAATGAGGCCACAGGGTACCAGTTCTCCCACCCCGTTTAAAACATTCACACACAAAGATACCCACAGACAATTAGAAATTTATTTACAACCTTATGGAACAGCTACAGCATCATCCCGACTCTCAGTTCTGATAAGTAGTGGCTAGGGACACAGCATGGGCTGTGGAGTACTACTTAACTGTTAAGGTTTTGCCTATTTTTTTCCCACCAGGAATGATCACAATGTGTGATTATTTTCTTCATTTATTGGCTAAATCACATATGGTTCCACTCTCATGCTAGAAATGCTTAAGCTCCAGGAATGTAAGGACTGCAATACTTCCTGCACAGGCCTGGTCACAAAGATAGGCACTCAATAGGTCATTTTGAATAACTGTGTCTCAGTTTATGCATAGTCTCCACCACTTAATCTGCTCCAGTGGTACAGTTTTTTCTTTTAGTTTTTGTTACATGACATTTTTAACATAACAGTTTAAAAACATTTTTAGAAACTGTTTTAGATTTATGGAATTGAATTGTTATGAAGGTATAGTTCTAGTAGTTTCTTCTATCATTAGCATCCTATACTAGTATAGTACATATATCTTTTTTTATTGTAGGCTGTTTATTGTAAGCTAATTTACAAATATCTTGCTGTCTTTAGTAATTTAAACAATGGACCAATAATTTCTTCTGACCAGGACAGCAGTAAGCTAAAAACAAATCAGCTGGCTGAATTTTCCTTCTTTACCTCTTGTCGGAGGACGAAACTTGATTTTCATTAATCCAGAGCCGCAGCACCGGAGATGATTTCAATCAACTCCTTTGTGATGACAGCCTGGCGGGTGCGGTTTAAGGTCAAAGTCAATTTGTCAATCATCTCAGAAGCATTCTTGCTCGCATTGTCCATGGCTGTCATCCTGGCACTTTGCTCACTCGTGGTGAATTCCTTCAGAGAATAGTAGATGATGTTGGCCAGACTGTATTCCCGGTAATTCTGCAGCACATCAGCATCAATGTCATCATAGATACTCATGCTCTCAGCACTTGCAATAGTATTAAGAGAAAAGATGGGCTTTTCTTCTGTCTTGTAGGAGATGACAGACCTGAATCGATTAAAGATGATAGATCCTTCATCAAATTCATATCCAGAATTTAGTAATTCCAGGGCAATGACTGATGCATCCCCAAAAGTATGGGGTTTTCTTCCCACTTCTTTGAACATCACCAGAAACTGGTCAGCATGAGTCCTACGAAGTATACCCCTAATTTTATCTCCAATTCCAACAATCTTTGTCACAATGCACCAGTATTGATACGTTATTATCAACTGAAGTCCATATTTTATTAAGATTTCCCCAGGTTTTCCCTAACGTCCCTTCTCTTCTCAGGATTCCATCCCGGGTACCATATTACATTGTCACGTGTGCTGACTCCTCTTAGCTGAGGCATTGTGTCAGACTTTCCTTGACAGTTTTGAGAAGTACTAGTCAGCTATTTTGTAGAATATTCTCCAACTCATGATTGTTTGATGGTTATTCTAGGACTGGGGTTTTGGGGAAGAAAACTGTTGAGGTAAGTGTAATTTTCTTTATGTCGTATCAAGAGCATGTATTATCAATGTAACCTCAGTGTGAATGTGAAATGATCACTTGGCTTGAGAGAGAGAGTTTTCTGTGTTTCTTCATTGTAAAGTTTCTTTTATTTCCGCCTTTCTTTGCACACTAGAGTCTTTGGAATGAGGTCACTATGCAATGGCCTAAACTTAAGGAATGAAGAGTTACGTTTCACCTCTGTAAAAGCAAAGCATCTCCATAAATTATTTGGAATTCTTCTGTATGGAAGAGTAGGTTTTCTTTTTTTTTTTTTTTCATTCATTCATTCATTCAATCATTTATATGTATCAGTGTGGACTAACAGATATTTTTAGACTTTGGGGCTCAATGCCAATTAAAATATTTGTGTTTTTTTCTTCCTGTATCTGGAACTTTGTATAGGTTCTTGCTTTTGCTTCAATATCCTGCCCACACTCTTTAATGAACAAATGTTGAAATCTCTGACTTTAGTTTTTGTCTCCTCAGGGAGGCAATTTTTTTTTTTTTAAATCTCAGGATTGCTAGTGAGCCTAAGCTTCAAAATAAATTTGGGTTTTAATATTTTAAATTCAAACATTATTTTTAGTGCTCTTTCAATAAAACATGTAGACCTGAAAAAGTTTGGATCTTTCTCTTTTTTTTTTTCTTTCTTTCTTTCTTTCTTTCTTTCTTTCTGTAGGGTAAAAAAGTGATATTTTTATTCATTTGTTCATGTATTTTCAGCATATGCTTTTTTATTTTTTTAATTATTTTTTTATTGTTCAGATTCACTTGTCTCCATTTTCCCACCACTTTCCCCACCCTCAGTCCTCCCTTACTTCGGCTTTGTCCATGGGTCCTTTATATATGTTCCTTAACTTGACCCTTCCTCTTCTTTTTCTCTTTCCCCACCACCTTCTCCCCTCTTGTTATTGTTGGTGTGTTTTTCTAACTGACTGATTTATATGGCAATGGATAAATTCACAAAAGGCTAAGGAATTCACATATAACAAACAAATACATACGTTTTACGAAAATAATCACATATCAATGACTAAATAAGGGATAGAAATCATGGTTTGATATGCTCTGGTGTGTGTACAATTGACTCTTGAACAACAGGGGGGCTGAGACACCAACCCCTGAGCAGTTAGAGATCCGTGTATAAAATTTGACTCTAGTACAGTCTGTCCTTTGCATCTGCCGATTCAAATATGTTTAGATAAAAACAATATTTTCAATGCATGTTTGGCAAACCCTGATTGGGGATCAAAAGATACTGTTTTGGAACCACAGTCAGTTGAATCCCTGAGCATGTGAAACCTGTGGGCATGAAGAGCTGACTGTACTTATTAAAAAACACCTGCATATAAGTGGATTCTTGCAGTTCAAACCTTGTCATTCAAGGGACCACTGTGTATGCATTCTTAGGATACTGAATTAAAATTTTGTAATTAATAATCGTTCATATCTAGGAGATAGATCTTAGAGACTTACATGAGACCCTTTACTGTCTGGAGTCATAGGCCATAAATATTCTCCAAACTTTACTTTGTTACTGAAAACAATCCTACATTTTATTAAATTTTCAGTATCATTTTAATTAACAGCATTATCATGATACAGTATAATTTCTAAAAGCCACTATTTTTGAGCTCTTCTGATTTTTTGCCCTTATAAACAAGCTATGATTAAAATCCTTATACCTACATTATGTGCAAATCTTGTACATTTGTTTCAGAATTTTTAAAATTGTAATTTCTTGGTCAAAAGATTATTTATACTTATGCTCACTATTGCCAAATTTTCAATGAGAGGTTTTCATTCCTATCCACATTGTTTGATAATGTTCTCCACACGAAATTATGAACTCATCTGAACTCTGAGGATTCAGAGCAAACACATTTTGGAAGTTTTATTGCAGGTTACAACATGCCCTTTTCTATTTCCTTTCCTTGACTGGTCTGCTGTCAGGCATGATGGTACGGTTGGCTGAGGCAGGTATTGACATTTGACTCAAGCTGAGCAAAAGGATTATGACTCAGATATTTGGCTGAGAAAATTCTAATTCCGTTTGGTATAGTTTTTTGAGAAAAATGGGTAGACTTCTTTTACCTGTTAGGTATGAGAAAAAGAGCAGGGAAAAATCGTGTTCTGGAAGAAGCATTGGAAGCACTGTATGGAGAGACAGAGGCAGCGTTAAGAGCTTAGAAGTCCAGCCAAGTTTCCAGTTGTCATTTCATTTCCAGTCTCACGCTAAGGTTGCTGGACACTAGGAGTAAGCCTCTATCCTTAAAATAAGCTTCTGCTTTCCACTTCCACTTGACCAAACGTGGCTTTGTTACTTGCATCTGGAGATTGCCATTTAATGTAGACTACTAGTTTCCACCATACCTGGACTGAATTTATAAATTCACGACCCTTATAAATAACCCAAGATATTTTGGCTTCTGTTTAAAATTCTGGCTTCTTACCTTGTATTTTAAGGCCTGATTTTTGATCCGGGAGGAAGAGCTATGTCAGATTCCCTGTAGACTCAGCCTCCTATTGACCTTGTCTTGTCCGTTGCTGCCCTCAGCGGCTCCCTCCCACAAGCATTTGTACCTAAAACACACAGACACCAAAAGACACCTCATTTTCATATCACTGGTAAAAACAAAGCTTTATGGCAATGCAGTTAAATTTTCATACTAGTAACATGCTATAAGAACTAGGATAATTTTTAGAAAAAGAAAAATTATGATGAAGAAAATAAAAGATAAATGACAGAATTCACAAAAGAAAAAATAGGAATTAGCTTTTCTTGTTTAGAGGATCATAAATATTTAACATTCATGATTTTTTAATATTTTTTTATAAATTGAGTCTATTACTAAGTTAAAAATTAAGAAAGAATTGATTAATTTGTTGGTGAATAAACATATGACATTGAAAAGGAGCAAACTAATATTTATTTGATAATTTGAAATATTCTATCATCTGGTTTCAAATTCCCAAAGAAGGCAACCATTTTTATGATAATATTGAAATGCTAATGAGATACCAATTTAGTAACTTAAATGTCATTAGAAAGCAAACATCAGCGTTTGTTTTAAAAGCTCTTTATATCTTTAAATAATGTTGTGTTTTGTATCAATTTTAAAAATAAAATGATTTAATAAAACTAATGGGTCAATGTGAATAAATGACAAGAATTTCTTATTCAAACATATGTTATCAGTTGCCCTGGATTCTCAGCCAAATTTAGAAGTCTTCAATATGAATAAGCTATGTTGTTAAATTAATATGGAAAGAAAGACTAAATTATTTCTGATTTGTTGTAGTTTTCAAATCAAATTCATTCTGTTATATTTACCTTGAATCTTTTTCCTTTCCCTTACAAATATAAGTACTTGTTTAGGCATTTATCTATTGAATAAATTGTTAATCAAACATTTTTTACCAAGCTTTATACTATGGCAATTTTAAGGGGAAAAATATAAAGCCACTTATCTAAATGCATATTCATTATAATGCAGAGGAGCTGAGGGTATTTTAAGGACTCTGGAGATACATGATCTGAAGAGGATACATGATTGTAAGAGCAAGAATGTCGCAGCTGAGGTGAGGTAGAGGAAAGTTATAGCAAGTCTTTGATGTATGAATGAGATTTCAAGCAGGATATTTTAAGACAGAAATTCTTAGGAGGATCAGTGTTTCAAATGCAAGAAAACATTGACAAGGAAAGGATGGCATCCAGTGCATTTTGTGTCAAGATTTTATAAGGTGATCAGAAGAAATGCAAAAAGGGGGAAAAAATGCAGATAAGCAGATGTTCTTTCATCTTACTTAACACTTCTCAGTTTTATAACTGTAATTTTAAAAGAATGCTTTACGACTATGGGTTGACAGAGTATGACCCAGCCAATCCATCCCACTACCTACTTTTGTAAATAAAGTTTTATTGGAATACAGCTCTGCCTATTAATTTACATACTGTTGATAACAGGTTTGGCACTCTAATGCAGAGTTGAGTGTTTGCAACACAGACAATATGGCCTGCAAAACGTAAAATATTTACTACCTGGCCCTTTACAGAAAGAGGCTGCTGAACGCTGTCCTAGATTTCTCTGCAGATATTAATAATGGGCTTCATATTAGGTGTCAAAACAGCTACAAGTTACGCTGAAATTATGGCTCATTCAATACTATATCCCTTGGCAAGTTTCTTACTTTGTCAGTGCCAAATGCAAAGAATGATTTAGAAGAGTCACATAATTATATTCTAATGCATTTTCAACCACATTTGAGGCCTGAAAAGATGTCTTCAAACTGAGAGAATGTTGGATTTTTACTTTCAGTGGACTCCAGAAATAATAGCAATGTTATTTTTTTTTCTCAAATATCTCTTTTCTGACTTTTACATTAATTTAAAGATAAAAAATGAATATGTGAGAAAAGATAGCCTCTGAACTACATTTTGTCTCCTCATTTGCAGTTTAGGTTAGGATCATTTTTGAACTCAGGATCCTCTAAGGCATAATTTGCACTCGTTGCTTTTACCCACTTTGAAAGTATAACCTATCCACCTTTCCGCAGCACCATCAACTCTTTTATCAGCAATTCTCACACTCTGAAAGCTTCCATTCTCACCAAGTGACACTCTCTCTTATCTGTGTTTCCACAGTTTGGGGGCAGGAAGCAATGATGCCCTGGGGTTGTTTTCTTTGTAATGGAGACTTAGAACTCTTCAGAGCCCATTTCCAAGGTGAACTTGGCTCCTGCAGTTATTCACCTGCCTCCTTCAGAAGTGCTTCTAAGTCACACATGGAATTGCTTCTGAATCCCTCAGAACACCTCTGTGGGGTCTGCAAGGAAGCGCTCAAAAACTTTTAAAAATTTTATAGGTAAATGTTTTTTAGGAAGTTTATGTTGCATGTTTAGTAACGGACAGGAATATTAAAAAGAAAAAATCAAATCACAATCAAGTAAATGTATCTGGGAGTGACATGCTAGAGAAATCTCTCCGAGAGTCTTAATAACAATTAAATGGTCTCACTGTTTCACAAGGCTGATTTTTCAGTGTCTTGAGAATTGTTCTTTTGGCAGTTTGTGGATGCTGGCAAAGGCTAGTAGGTAAATCCTGGAGATATATATATATATATATATATCTCCATCCACGCGTGCGCGCAGGACGCGCACACATACATGGTAGGGCAAAAGTAGGTTTACAGTTGCAATACAAATAAATAATACAATAATAATAAGTAGTAAGGCAAGAATAAACTCTGCTTTGTGTGCTCAAACTGTAAAACTAACTTTGCCTATTTGGAAGTATACTTATGAGAGGGAATCCCCAAGACCAGAATTTATTTATAAAAAATGTGTATTTATTCTTACATGTTTAAACTTCAATCATATTCAAAGTATTCTTCATTTGATGTAATATACCTATCAAGACTTTTTTCCCACTGCATAACAGTTTTTGAACTTGTCAATTTTGATCCCTTTCGGTACTTCTGTTGTTTTTGTTTCACTACTGTTACGGAACAAATGGACCGGTTGGGGCGGGTGGTGCCCAGATGCTATTACCAAAACAATGGCACCCCGCTTGCCCAGGGTCCCTCGGTTGTAGGTCCTTTGCCCACTGCCCTTGGAATTATGGCTCTGAATGGCAGAGTTTGGTGAAAAGGAAAGGAACTATTTATTCAAATTATACAGGTTTGATTAATGGCTAAATATCACCCTTAAACCTCAGAATCCTTTTAAAACAATCACTAGCACACACAGTCCTGCCTACCCCACCTTTGCCCAGTTAGGCCAGTCAGGCCAGTCAGGCCAGTCAAGGGTACCGTCCTTCAGAGGAAAAAAGAACAGAAGTCCGGGGCTCGGCTAGGCAGGCCTCTTGTGGTTCTCAGCACCATCCGTGGTGTCGCCGCGATCTTCAGCTCTTAATCCATAACCATGTGGCACCTTCTCATGGACCACTAGCAAGAGTCCCTTCTCCCCTCTTTCTTCCCAGGCAGTTTTCCTGCTGTTCCCCAGAGTCTCTGTCCCTTAGTCTCTCCTGAGGGACCCTGTCTCTCCTCCTTCCTCTCCCAGTTACAATCTGTATTAAGTCTTTGAAACCTTCCTGATTAGCTTTGGTGATATGCAAAATAACACTTTTTGCATATGAGGAATGAAGCTATCCTGTTACTGACATGCAAAATGACTCTCAATGGCCCTGCTCAAGGCTCCCATACCCCATGGTGGCCCGCCCTGGGTGGGGAGAATATATTTTTCTTGGACACCTCATTTTCTGGACCCTGTTACAAATACCCTTTATGGGGGGCCCTGGATGTGCTGTTACAGTACTTCCACTCCAGCAAAATGTTTCCCTTTGAGGACTTTTTCGTCATAGAAACAAAGAAAAAATAGTTACTGGGGCCAAGATCCATTGAATAAAGAGGGTGTGGCATGTGATCATGCCATTTGGGTCAAAAACTGTTGAACACTCACCACAATGTGGGCAGCCGTGCTGGTAAATCACCCATCATGAAATG